TGTCCCGCCAATGACGTTACTGAAGAGTACCCGTCGCGGAAACAACGACCTCACATTACTTAACAAAGCCCTGAATGCACTACGATAGTTTTCGCTAAAAATATAGTAAATAGCCATGTTAAATAGGCCATTGAGATACATAAAAGAGAATGCAATGGGCCATACAATCCCTAAGAGAAACATACTCTTGGGATATTCTTTAAAAAGAGAACTAGCAGTAAGTATTGGAGCCCAWGMTACAATAAAAGCCAAAACAACTGATATTATCATGTAGGTTACTTTCCTAGATGTCCTGTCAGCAGCCTGTTGTCCACCTTCTCCGGGGACTTTTCTCTTCCAAACCTTGTAGCCAATCGCAAAGCAGAGTATGATGACGAGAGCAAGTGGAAGTGGAATGGTCAGAAAAGTAGAAGCTACCATTGTACTTTTGGTCTTAGGGATGCAGTATGCTGTGGATTGACCTGGCAAAGTGACCAAATGTTTCCCATTGATGGCTGTTAATGACATTCCAACTGCTAGTAGCCATGTRAACATTATAAGGTATTTGCTAACTGAAACATGGCTTTTGTACCTTAATGGACGGCTCACTGCCATCAATCTGTCAAATGAGATTACCACAAGACTAAATGTAGAGCAAAGACCTATTATAAATTKGAGAAGCGTGTRAGCAACGCAAGTTATTCTTCCAAACCGACCAGGGAACCAAGCAAACCAACTGATAACAAAATTAATCGAATAAGGACCATTAAACAGTGCAAGAAGGATGTCAGCACACGCCATGTTGACGATGAAGTAGTTGGTTGTTGTGTGCATGTGCCGGTTGACTCGAACACTGTGGATGATTATGCTGTTGCTGACAATTGATGACAATGCTGCAATCGCTTCGATGGCGATTAGTACTGCTTTGATCCGACTGTCCACCTCATGATGTCGCATCAAATATCCATATTCTACATGGAAAGAATGTAGTTAAGGGGGTTCATTAGAGTTTTTGTTTCAGTAAAGCGATTTGACTAACKTTCGTGAAACCGGACAATGGTTTGTTCTTAAACAAAAATGCCATAAACTGTATTTCAAAAACTTTGGGTTCTCTTAATTTTAGTGGTTAGTCTGAGACAGCAGCAAATATTCCGTTCACTGTCCATTGTGTTAATAATGTTGATAAATCCAAATGCAACTATAGTGTTGTTAGCCTTTCTGCGTTTTCTTACCATGCTGTTGTACGCTACGATTGTTTACCCGCGAACTCTCGAACTCTCCTTTGGATGTGATTAATGAAGAAAACAACACCAAAATGGCAAAAGCAAACGCTTTCATTTCTATTTTCCACATCACCAAATAGAATCTATGAATTCAAACAAATCTTCCAAAGTGGAAAGAAACGACTTTAGGAACACGGAAGGAAATTCGCCAATTAATTCATTGAAAGGATCCCATAAAAGAAAATTATAAATATTTCATTACATATAAGTTCAATTACGGCACATCAATCTTTTATCAAGATATACTCCTTTATATAGCAGCACACAATTTTGAATTTCTGAAATGTTAATTACAATTGATTGATCCTGATGACATCTGCTTAATAGATAATAATTTCTGATAACCAACTGTTTCGACCTTGAATACATYAGCCTGCACTCCTGACAGTCTCTAAGTTTTGTGCCATTAAGTTGTTCATGTCCAGTTATTAATTATTTGCAGCTTTCACCATACTCCTCTACAGTTCT